TTTTTTTGTTGTATTAATAAGTTGAATATAAAATTTATCAGAACTTTGCATATTTTCCTCATCTTCAATTATTTTAAAATTTGTAGTATCTATATTATTAAAAACAGATTGTTCAATGTTACTTTGTATATCCAAAGTATCAAGAAATGGGTATTGGTAATAATGATAAACTTTATCAAAAAATTCAACTGGTATAGTTCCTTTTTGTAATACAAGATATTTACAAATAAAGAAATAACTAGTCAAAAAGAGGAACATCTATATATCCAATTTGAGATATCAGTAAAATAAGTATTTTATATTACAGAAGTTTCTAATTTTTACCATTCTTTTTTAAATGATTTATGCCAATCTGCTTTTTCAATACCATCTAAAACTTGTTGAAGTTTTCTTTGTATTAGTAGAACTACTTGTATTATAATAATAAAAACTACTAAATCTAATCATAGATAAAAGAATTTATACAAAAAATTACGTTTCAGTACTTTCTAATAAGCTTCTACAAACATATTTGTTTTAAAAATTGAAATCCTTAAACTATAACCTGTATGTAACTATAAACTCTAGCATTCTGTATTATACTATTCATTTCATAAATATATCTAGAGAAACTTTAATTTATATTTGTTACAAAATATATAAATTTTTTGTACTACTATCATCCAAATTTCTTGTACTGTTAAAAATTGTCTATTATTGTTAGGTATTAAAAGATAAAGATATAAATACCAGTTCATCATTTCTTATATAGTTTCATAAAATTGTTTAGAACAAAAAACATAATTTGTTATATTAAGTTGTAGTCAAAATTCTGGATCAATAAAATTAAATTGATTATATACTATTTGACATTATAATTAATTTGCTTTGGTTTAGTATTATTTGAAAGTCTAGTCTCGATAGCCTTTTTAATCTACTAAAGGTATATTTGAACTTTAATTTCTTTCTAAACAAATCTAGCAGCAAATATTTGGGCAAAATCCTTATTTGTTAAAAAAAATTTAAGATTAAGCCTAAGTAAATACAATTCAGAAAAAAAAATCAACTAGAACACCAGTACAAATTCTATTATTACAATTTCTATTATTTTCAAGGAACAAATAAGCTAATGGGTATCTACTTCTATCAATTTGAGCAATAATAGCAAATAATTCAAATCTAAGGTTATTCATTTTATCTATATTAAAAAATAAAAAATAAATTTATAAGTAATATGAAGTCTTTGCCATAAAATAATTTTTAATATTTATATAGCAAAGACTTCATATATTATTATAGAATATATTATTTTATAATATAGATAATAAGTTATTATATTTATATGTAGAATCAACTCCAATTTCATCAATTCATATATTAAAATTTTTAATTATATTCCAGATTCTAGTTAAAAATCCTATTGCTTGTAGATTTCCTTTTAAATTATTATTTAGTGCAATTCCTCTATTAACAATTTTTGTGTTGAATAAAAGAGTTTTCATCACATTTGTATCTTTTTTTTTACCTAGTTCAGTTTACCAAAATTGTATTTGTTTTTGGTATATATTAGTATTTAAGTTTTGCATTACAAGATATTTATATATTTCACGAGGGAATAAATTAATATCTTCAAGAATATATTGTTTTATCACCAAAGAAATTGAATTATCTAAATGAGTTAGATGAAGGTAATGATATATCTCTATTTTAGCAGAGGCAAGATTTTGAGAAATAGTAATTGTAACTTGGCCTTTGCAAAAAAATTACTTAATTGATTGCCTATCATAATGTTTATTAATATCAATATATTTTTTTAGCTTTTCAGCTAAACAATTTCTTTGTAAACAATAATAAATATAAGTCGTCAAACTAGACTTTTGGGCATTATATTTTAGATAATATCTAAATAATAATTAATATAAATTAAACATTATGTTTAATTTTTTTTTATATTATTTATAGCAAAAACCAAATTTAGTTTTTGCTAAAAGAAATATCATTTATTCAAATACAAGAAATAGCAATTTTTTTAATTCCAAAACTTATATCCATTTATATTCATCTGCATCTAATATAATTTCAATTATATTATTAGTTCATTCTTTAGAATTGCCTTCTAATATGGAAATATTAATTGCACAAGAAAATTTAAATTCCAAAGATTTTAAATTTTCTTGATCCTCATCAAAGTTACTGCTGTCAAATGGATTAAAAAATTGCATTATATAATCATAAAAGTCATAGAAATCTATAATTGTTTTATTATCAAGTTCTGATTAGTCTTTACATTTTTTTTTTGTTTTAGGTATGACACATATTACAAATTAGAAAAATTTTATTATTATTATTTATAAATGAACTACAAGGAAGATTTTTTTTATATCGTTTGCAGTATTTTTGTGTATTATTATTATCAGTACTTGTTATAAGAGGGAGCAAACTCATTTTTACAGTACTTTACAGTAACAATAACATGCAACAACATACTCAAGAAAAAAGACAAATTTAAAGTATTTCTAATATTTATAGTAAATACTTTGTACAATGATATACCAATATGCATATCAATATATAACAGTATTATTAATAATTTACTAATATTAAAAAGATGTAAACTGGTTCTGGAATAGAACTAGACCAGAGATTCTTAGTTATACCTAGGTTTATAGATTAACAAACAAACAATCAACTACAAATCTAATACTCAACTCTAAGTTGAAAGGCTAAAAGAGGTCATAGAGGATTTAGTTCAGGTTTTAGAATCACAGAGTAGATTTCTGGATTATGAAAGTAGGTATTTTCAGGTTCTTAACTGTTAGTTCTAGTTGTTTTTGTTGGGAATATTTGGTTTTTTATTCTTTTTTTAAATATAATTCTAGTTACGTAGTCTAGGTTTTGATCTAATTAGTTTATAGATTCAATAATGGGAATTTATAAGACTAACTAAAGAGTGATTGATTATTGTTTAAATTTATCGAGATTAGATTATTGGGGAGAAGGGGTGATTGGGAATAGCGAATATGATATTTGAGAGTTATTTTTGGGGTTTTCGAATTGTCTCAAACTTGAGATGATTTATTGAAGAGGAAAAAGTATTACTTATATACTTTTACAAATGTTTAAAATATCGAATATATTCAATATATCGAATATATTCGATATATTAGATATATTCAATATTTTAAATTATACTAACTAAATATGAACTAATTTATAGTAAGTTTTCAATTATATATGTTTGTGCTAATAAAAGAATTAAACAAGAATCACAACTAAAAATAGGATATCATATTATATCGAAGCGCAGTATTTCTAGAGAGTCAATTTAGATCTTTATAATCTCCTATACTTAATTTATGTGTACTATGCATAAATATCTTAAGACTCATCAAGGTTATTCAGAATACACTTTGATATTACACTGAGGCTACTCTGAGACTTATTCAGATAAGTAATGTAGATGTTTCCTTTCTTCTTTCTATTCATATTTGGCAGCTACACTTTGATATCTAACTAGAGCTTCATAGAGACTTATCTGGTTTTCGATATAGATATATCCTTACTTCTTTCCATCCAAATTTATTTGCTATTTCTTGTATTTTCTCTATCTTGAACTTCTTAATTATCCTTACTAATCTTGTGTCTTACAAGTACTTTTTTTAAATTTTCTTTATCTAGTCTCAAGAATCTAGAGAATCTTCATTATAGATTCTTGGAGAGTAGATCTATACTAATGAAATACTAGGATACCAGAACCTGAGCTAGATTCTGTTCTTCGAATTTGGAGTGTTAAACTGTATCTTTTATAACTTAAGACAATTACTCGGTATAGGCTACTATTTTAATATACGATTTATTCGATTGTTTTTATGAGCTAA